ATTTTTTTTGTATGGGATTAAAATGGAGATCATATTTTTTGCTAGGGACTTAAAAAAATATTTACTCCTAATAAATATATTGAACTAAGAGACAAATAAGGACCTGCAACCAAGGAAGCACGGACACTTGTAAAAACAGGAAGAGTCGGGTCCGACACGCTCCGACACGGCGACACGCTCCGACACGCTCCGACACGGTGTCGGACACGCAGTTGACTTTTTCCGACACGTTGACCATTCCGACACGCGAATTTGACCGTGTCCGACACGGTCAAATGGCATTTTCGTAATTTTTTTTAATTTTTTTTTTAATTTTTTTTAAAAAAATTTATTTTTTTAAAAAGTTAAAATATATTAATAAAGCTTCCACCTGATCATATCAATTTTATCTTTTGTCTTTTTTCCCCTTAAGTAGATAAGAGATCATCTCAGCATCATTGTTGTAAATTCCTATCACGCTCTTGTTGTATCTTCTTCTCTCTAATATGATTTGATCTCTCTATCTGATATTATATATATATCTCATCCCAGTTCTTATTTTTTTATTAAAGCTTCCATCTTTATAACATATTAATGGGTATTATTAATTTTGTTTCATTTTTTTTGTTAAATTATTAAATATTAAATGAAATATACACTATATAAATTAAAAATATTATTTAATATTAAAACGTGTCCCAACGTGTCGAAATCCATAATTTTTTAAGATTGACGTGTCGGAGTGTCGTGTCGTGTCGTGTCACGTGTCGCGTGTCGTATCGGTGCTACATAGCCTGCAACTAAAAAAAAAAGAGGAAAAAAACTCAAATAAGTTTTTTTATGACCGCACTTGTGTGCATTTGCCCGCAAGTGGGTCCACCACTGTGGGGAATAAAAGACATTTCATATAGAATAAACAGGTGAATGGGTGTCGCCATTACAGGCCATCAGGAGAAATACAACACAAAAATTTCATCACGATCTCTAATGCATGTCTGACCAATTAGAATATACAATGTATAAATACATAACTATCAATATGAACCAAAAAAAAAAAAAAATCAGTCAACTAAGTGTTGAGATTTACAGAGCGCTCACATCTAACCGGCCCTTCAGTATACCTTTGATAAGCAAGTTCCCTTGGACGACCTCAAGCACAAGCACAACAAATGTGCATTTCCTCTTAAGTAGGTGTGTGCATAGAGCGGTTCGGTTTGATTATTGTCAAAAACCAAACCAAACCAGTTTTAAACGGTTTAGATTTTAAATCGAACCACTTTTTAAAAAAAAAAAAAAACAGGTTTTTAATTTGTCCAAACCAGTTTAAAATCGGTTTGTGGTTTATAACCGGTTTCGAATTAAAACCGGTTTTAACTCAAAACCGGTTATCAAGTTCAAAACCAGTTTTTTAACAAATTCAAAATCGATTTTTGATGGATTGTGTTATTTTTATAAGTAGTCATTTGTTTCTCCCGGTTATAGGTAGTTGACCAACTATTTCTTGCAAGAATCTTCATTGTTTTGGAACTCTCAAGACAAAATGATTCTTAAAGAAATTGTTCACGTTGTTTTTATGAAAAACTTTTCCATCAAAATTTTCCGCGAAAATTTTTGACGAAAAATATTTCCATCAAAATTTGTGACTAAAAACATATCTGTAAAAAAATTTGACAGAACATTTTTTTTGTCGAATTTTTTTACAGAATATAAATTCCGTCAAAACATTTCCCTCAAAATATTTCACAAAAAAACATATTCATCGAAATTTTTTACGAAAAAAAATTACTATCAAAATTTTCCACGAAACACATTTCCTTCGAAAACTTTTGACGGAAAAAAAATTCATCAAAATTCTTTACAGAATTCAAATTCCTTCGAAAGTTTTCGAAGGAAACATTTTCGTTAAACTTTTATGACGAACAATATTTTGATAAAAAATTTTGACAAAAATATTTTTCGTAAAAATGTTTTATAAAAATTTTTGCCGTCAAAAAATTTGAGGAAATTTAGATTCCATAAAGAACTTTGACAAAAAAAAATTTCCGTGAATTTTATATAGAAATATTTTCCATAAAAAAAAAATCTGAAATAATTTTCGTCAAAATTTTTACGTAAATATTTTTGGTCAAAATTTTTGTTGTAAATGTGTTTTGTTGTAAATTTGGACGGAAATATTTTCCGTAAAAAAATTTGACGAAATTATTTTCTGTCAATTTTTTTATGAAAATGTGTTTCGTCAAAATTTTTTACAGAATTATTTTTCGTTGAAAAGTTTGACAGAATTGTTTTTATCGAAAGTTTCGACGGAATTTAGATTCTATCAATAATTTTGACTGAAATATTTTGTCCCTCAAAAATTTATGTCAGTGATTATGACAAAATCTTGTTCCTCTCTAGTTTTGACGAAATTTTTTTTCGTCTCTATTTTCTACGTAATATGATTTTTGTCATAATTTTCGACGAAATTTTGTCTTCGATAAATATTGTTAGTATTTGAGACTTTTCTAATAATGTCACATTTAAAAATGATTCTTATTTATGTAATTTTCACATTTTAATGTTAAGGATAAAAGATAATACTTATTTGTTCTTTAATTGTAAAATAGTTTGGTTATGGATAACCAATTATTTCTATGGTTTGTTAAATAATCAGTTATAAAATAAAATGCAGTTTCATATGAAACCGATTTTTAAAAATAACCTGTTTTTAAAATGTGGAGCAATTTGGTTATGGATCGGTTTGGTTTTTTTGGACATTTTGAACATCCCTAATCTTAAGTTTCCTCAAAAGCCTCAGCTCATTCGAAGGAGCTGAACTCGTCCAAGAACAATGCGCTCGTCTTACAAGAAGAGCACTATAACACTGGCAGAGAATAATATAAACTATTAAAAAAAAGTCTCATCCAACATCTTAAGGTTTTGGGTTGAAGTGGTTCTTTACTTGGTATCAGTGCACCTAAGTGACCACAAGGTCATGAGTTCGATCTTCATTGCCCCCACTTTTCTGGTGGAATTAAAATAAAAAAAGCACAAAAGGTAAACAAAAATTGGGCCTGTGCAATATCCACACTTGAAGCCCAAAGGGCTCTTGCATGAGGGGGGTGTGAGGGGTGTGTTAGAGAATAATATAAACCATTAAAAAAAACCTCACCCAACACCTTAAGATTTTGGGTTGAAGTGGTTCTTTACAAACATAAAGACTAGCTACTCGGAACAGACACCCTTAACCTGGATAGTTGAAACTCGGCCCTTTTGCTCCTAGAGTTCGAAAGCACTATGAAGCACCGACACTTCAAAAACCATGACTTGTCGTGTCCGACACTTCCCGACACTCTCCGATATTTCGTCACTCCCCAACACTCCAACACGCATTATAGAAATTCAAAAAAAAGGTTCAAAAGTTGCGTTGCGTTGAGCTTTTAGTTCCAACTATTAAATTCGTTGGATTACGATTACCATTTTATTGAGTTTAATATAAATATTTGGGATATCTTACGTTTCTTTGCAAAATTGATGAATATTATAAGTTTAATTTTATTTTTTTGTTAAATTATTGAATATTAAATATAATACACACTACATAAATTAAAAATATTATTTAATATCAAAACATGTCCTAACGTGTCGAAATCTAATATTTTTTAAAATTAACGTGTCAGAGTATTGTATCGTATCGTGTCACGTGTAACGTATCAGCATTAGTGCTAGATAGCCTGCTAGTACAATTTAGGGGGTCAATTGTTCTGGATAATGGGACCCATATGCTTTAGAAGATAAAATCCTAAGTCAATCCGAATTCGGATATGAATGGACCTCATCTATTAAAGAGTTGAATCTTACCCATACTTTCCCGTCTCTAGGAAAACCCCTCTTATAACTAAATGGTTAAACTCTACAATTACAAACTTTTTGAACCTTGGTCTCTTTTATTGTCATTGTACATATATATCACCCCCTGACTTAAAGCTTCTCTTGCTTCTGCTCCTTGTCATTGTCCAAGAAACACATTCAAGGCATTTGGAGTTTTCGTTCTCATCTTGGTCTCTTTTATTGTCATTGTCCACTGAATAAATAACTATCAATCAAATCTATGAATCGCAAAGGAGAACGGTAGTTTTAATAGCTCGATAATTGGAACACTAAACAGAATGAAAACTCCAAATGCCTTGAATGTGTTTCTTGGGTCATGAAGGAGACAAAACTTTGGAAGAGCGTACAAATTCTCACCTTCACTCACATTAATTAAGTTTTTTATTTCTTTAATATACAGTTGCATTTTAGTTGGGAAAAGTTTCCAAGTAAAGTCAAAATATAACCGAGTGTTTTGGATCCGTGTTAGGGGTCACTTGTCCAGTTGGGCAAAATAGGTCTTATTCACCTTCATGTAAAAACTCACTATAAATATTGGGTTAAGCATGAGAGATATGCTCTCTGCAATCCTAATCCTTATTCGTTGTTATTATGCGCACACACTCCTTTTGGCTTCTGCTGTTATCTCCTCCGTGCTCCATATATCCAAGAGCAACTTTAATCCATTAGGAATAGGTAAACAATATAACTTCAGCATTTGCAATACCAACAAGATTTATGAAGAAATGAGCGAGCCGATTGCTCATATGAATTTCTTGAACCTTAGGAAGGGAATGCTAGCATTTTCCATTGAACCTTAGGAAGGGAGTGCTAGCATTTTTCCATTGAAAAATACTGATTGTTAAGTGTGCAATTTGACTACTTCATGTCATTTCTATGGTTTAACAACATTGCTTGCTGCCAATACAAGTTTATTAAGTACAACAAATACTATTTGTTCTGTCATCATATATAACTATTGTTATGGCCAATCCATTTTCAAAACCAACCAAATGTTTTTATTCATTCTATTCTCCAAATCTTACACCTTCAACAAAAGGGTACAAATTTTTAATTAAAATCTTCAACAATTAGGCAATAAACAGTATCATTCATACTTCTAATTATGGAAAGAAGCAGAAGCAAGAGAAGATTGAAAATTGTGCACCATAATTGAATAATATTAATTCAATATCACTCAAATTCAATTAGTTACTTGAGAATAACTCCTCAAAATTTTGGATAAATACCAACAAAGTCTAATCAAACACTACACATCAAACTCCTATACAGAATATTACTCTTCTCGGATACACTTCATTCCTCAATCTGAATTGTTAGAAAAAGCCCCCAAAAAATGGAAAATAACATTTCTTTTAGCACTTGCTTTTCATCTCATGTATACTAAAATTTAGCAGATGACACAGCCATTAGGGTCCTCTTCCACACTTGTAACATAGTGATATTGATTAGACTGTAGTGGGGTCATATGATAATAAAGGGGATAGGCTTCATAAAGCTTAACAGGTTCAGGTACTTTTATTGAATCCTTCTTATCATCTAACTTTGGTTCTTCCTTCTTCTTTTCTTCTTTAGCAGATCCAACAGAAACTATTTCAGTATGACACCATTTCCTTAGCTTCCCCACAACATGTACTGGATCAATGTCTCCCACTAATGTTAATTTCTTGTCTTTCATATCCACAGACACTGATTCAACCCCTGCAAGATCACAATAAATTCAATTTCAATTGAAAATCAATACAAGGATAATGTAAAGCTAGCTTTTATTGCAACTTGCTAGGCATGAATGAACTACAGGGTATTTCTTTTCTTTTTTGTTATTGATCTTTGGTTTGTTTTTATCTCTATTTTAGTTTGATTTTCTTAAATTTTGTTGATTGCTTCTAGCATCTAAAAGCCAAGAGGTCTAGCAGAGAAGAAAGATTAAGAAGTCCAAAATTCAATACCTGAAATTCCAGAGGCTGTTTTCATAGCTTTTTGCTTGATTTTGTCATCGTACAAGTCGACCTTCAACACTACTTTCTGTCACAGAACAAACCAAAGAGCATTTCAGGACCCAACAATTACTTACATGTCTACAATATGAAAGGAAATCATCACAGACAAGGAACATAAAATTGTTGATTTCATACTTTGAATATAAAAAATGATGTATACCAATTCTGACTAAAAATTTTAAAGCAAAATAATAAAAAATAAAATAAAATTTATCAGTCATGAATGGAGACAGAACAAAACTCATTCAAAAAATAAATAAATGGGTGATTTAATGATTAGGTGATGAAGAAGAGGAGACAATAGAGATTGGTTTAACTTGAGGGTATAGTTCTGACCTTCATTGTTGTTAAGAAACTTGTGAGAGCTAAGCAATAATTGTTGGTGACAATTGCAAAGGAAAGCCTATAAGAGCTTGGGGACAACTTTGAAGAGATAAAACACTTGAAGAGAAGTGTATGAACTATCTATGTTTTGAACTTGACATGAAGTGGTGAAGTGAAGGTGAGGTTGAGCAAGATTTTATAGTAGGAGGTGTTGAGAAATCTTGAACACAGTTAACACAAGTCAAGGTAAAATGGGTAGTGTTCTTCCTTCGTGGATGGATCCCAAAGAAAATAATGATGTAGTTGAGAACTTTCCAAGAGGTTTGGTTTCGCTGGTATTTGTGTCAACAATTCGTGAATCACGCGCTTGCCACTGGGTCCAAACCCAATGGCTGTTCCGTGCTGCATTGGCGGCCATAATCCATTCCCACATAAAATAGACAAAATTTCTTCTATAATTATTCTTTATGTTTTATTTTAGAGGAGTGTTATATTTACGATCTTTTTATATATAGACTTATTTATGTATTTTGGGGAGTATAAAAATAGAGAAATATATAGACAAATTTGTAAACAAAACAATTATAAATATAACTTAATCCTTTATTTTATCGCTTGATTCTTTTATGTTTTTTTGGTTTCATCTTTATCACTATTATAAATTGAATTAATCTATTCATTTTCTCGTTAACACTAATAAAAAAAATATTTATCATTTTAATTGCAAGTCATTTTAATTAAAATGATTGTTTTTATTTAATATTTAAATTAAAAAAAATCCTCACTTTCTCTAACTACGATTTTTATCATGTAACTATTTCTCTTACTATAAAATAATATAATTTTGACTAAAATGATTCAATTTTATATCTTTTAAAATAATGAATATTAATTTTATAAAAAAATATACGAGAAATAAATAATAATAAAAAGCAAAGACTTTATTTTCGCCCATTATAACGTACGTATATGACTTGATTTTTTATAATTTTAAACTTATTATTTAAATTTAGTATGATAACAATGTGTATCACTTAACTCATAAATATTAAAGGTGTAGGATATACTTACCACCGAAAATATTTATCATCTTTATAATCAATATAATCACTGTTGATTCTGTTAATCTAACGGTTATAATTTATTAAAAATTAATAATTAATTAATAAGTATAATCTAATAATTTTCAATAAAGTATAATCGTTAGATTGACGGAAATTAACGATGATTAAATTAGTTGTAAGAGTGATAAACTTTTTTCGTGATAAGTATATCATTTTCCAATCTTAAAAAGTATTTTTACTGAACAGAATCCTAAAGGCTTCGTATTGTTTTAGAAGAAAAAATGTGTATATAACGAATGAGTAAGTAACATATTTCGTTAGATTCAGAAAAAGAAGGAAAGTCTCGTAATACAAAAAGAAAAAGAAGGAAAGAGAATCATTCAATGATTCTACTTTTCCATTATATGGTTGAGTCTCTTTCTTTGAAGGAACTAAGGGGGGATGAGGGTAGGATCGAGACAATGACACGACACCGTTTCCGCATTTGGAAAACAAACAAATCAGAGAAATTAGAGACACGGCAAAGTAAAGGTAGTTGAAGGCTTTTGAGTTTTGACTTCTAAAGAAACATTATTAATGGCAAATAAAAAAAAATTTGGAAGAAATTCTCTCGTACAAATACAGGTCTTCCCAGTCAGTTTTATCATCCCAAAGAGGAGAAGGTATTTGATGAGATTGGACTATGGTGGTTTTTTCTCAAAATAGAAAAAAAAAAAAAAAAGAGATAAAGGGAAAAAAAATCAAAAAAAAGGGATAAAAATGGAAGAAAATTTTTCATTTATAAAAAAAGGACTGCTGAATAAGTGGTGGGCCTGCAGCATATTAAATTTTTCCCCCAACGAGAAGATTCAAGTGGTATCTTTTGAGTATTTCTCTTATTTTATATGAAGAGATGTATTTTTGTGTCTATAAGAAAATGTATTTATTTTTATTTTTCATTGCATATCTTTCAGCGAAAATTCTTCAAAATTTTTTTGTGCTGCTTTTTTATTCAGTTAAGAGTTTCCTATGTTTTTACCAAAAAAAGAGAGTTTCCTATGTTAAATATTGTGTTTAAGTTCCTAATTTTTATTACGAGATTAGTGTTTGTACATTTAAAGAACATAGAATTGTGTCATTTTAAGTGAGAGAAAGAGATAACAAAAAAATTATGGATAGAAAGTGAGAGTTTTTTAATTTAAATTTTAAATAAGAATACTAATTTCAATTAAAATGATCATGCTTTAAATGACTCATTTTTCCCTTTTTATTAAATGTAGTTTATGCGTGATACTATCTATGTTGACTCTTATTGATAGAAAATGGCCTTGAAGGCCGTAGGCATGTGAGGATGAAAACAAAATTTTTCAAGAGCGGAAACACACATGCAAATTAAGATACGTACTTTAAGACGTAATGATACCTTTGTTCGTGATTCAAAACTCCAAAGGGATCAGTGTAAGGTTTGAAGGTTCAAACCCTCTAATGTTGATCCACACCACCCTACGTCAAGATGCAAGAACACTTCTTAAAAGCCACCAATCGAACACCACAAGGAAGGCTAGCTAGGCGTCCAATAGGAGAGAAAGAGGCTTAGGTTTCAAGGTGTTTAGTTGAGTGAATTTTCAGCATGAAGACTCACAAAATGGCGCATGAAATTCTATGAGAAGAGGCTAGGTAATTTCCGAAAAACCCTTAAGAGAACCTAACAAAAGGAAGCACTTTTGGAGATGAGAGAAATGTTTGAATTGAATCAGATTTTTCTCCCAAAAATCTGACCTATGTAGCGCCCAATGGTGGAGGAATAAGTGGAGTTGTTGTAATTCAAATCTAGCCAACAACCTCCTATCATATCCTTATGAGACTAAGTCTATACCTAGTCAAAAATCTGACTTAATAACCATCATATGGCCATCCATTTGGTGCGCCCTTATTCAGCCCAAAAATAGTCCAAATACATTGAGTAGTTGCAATTCAAATTGAACCAACTCACTCACTTAACATAAATGGGCTTGGGCCTAACAAGCCCACAACCCATTTAATGACAACACAGAGCACTAGCAATGCTTTGTTGCCCCAGAGCTAGTTAGGTTAATGACATGATCATCCTATTACATATATTTGGTTACTGTATGTATTTCCTTTCGTCTCGGTTACCTTCCCTTTAAACCTAGGGTGAGGATACGTATCAACCCTTGCGATTTAGGGTAAGCTTTAATTCGAAATAGGGAATCTTCAATTTACTTCTAAAGGCAGATCATCTTATGATCTCTTTTACTATGCATAGATTCCCGAGTCCTGTAAATGTCATCCCGATTTCTCCGGTTTACAGATAACCTAATCCCTTACAGAGATTTAACGAATTCCTTCAGCCTATCACCCTAGGTCTGTGCTCTTTCAGGACATGCCCAAAAGTATACCTATGAGTCTCCATGTTTCAGGCAGACGAGTTATACAATCAAAACATGCCTTCTAGAACACAGTCTAGGTGACAACTTAAGGTCTAAGGAAAGACATACCCAAATATTAAGAGACTGCTCTAATGATACTTTTGTAAGATTTCCTCATAGAGTCTCTTTGTGGGTCTGTTCAGTGCGAGCTATACCCTTATAGGTCCACCCACGACTTTAGCTAAGACATCTCCATATCTGTAGCTCATGAGGTCTTTACCTTGTATCCGAATACAAGTAGATAAGTCATGCTAGTCTTATCCGAGATTACTCATCCTCATTCTCAGTGTCTCTAGACTAGGAACATAAAATTAGAAATAAACATCTGGTATCCTTAAATCCTCATGATTGTGATCTCATCACAGATACTTAAGAGGTACCTATTTTATTCCAAGGGGTTTATCCAGTTACTCATATAATATATTAACAATAATATTGAGACAAAATATGAAACAGGATAATGAGTGCTTATTATTTATTTGCGACAATATAAAAAGGTCCACATATGTCCTAATCTAATCAAAAGATTGTCTCTAGGACATCCATATAATAACAAGCTCCCACTTGGCCTAGAGCCAATCTGACCTAAGTCGTATACCTAAAACCTCATAATGACTATCATGTTTTCTCTGAGAAACCGCCTTTGTCAGAGAATCGGCTAGGTTATCATCTGAGGGAACATAATCCATCTTTACATCCATTCTAACAATGATTTCTCTAATAAAGTGATTTCTGCGGAGCACATGCTTAGATCTTTGATGAGACCTAGGTTCCTTTGACTGCACAATGGCTCCTGTGTTGTCGCAAAGCAACTATATGGGCTCATCTACGCTTGGAACCACCCTTAGTTCAGATATGAACTTCTTGATCCACACGGCCTCCTTAGCCGCTTCTGAAGCAGCTATGTATTCAGCTTCTGTCGTTGAATCTGTTGTAGTCTCCTTCTTGGAACTCTTCCAAGACACTGCCCCACCATTTAAGGTGAATACGAATCCTGACTGTGACTTGCAGACATCTTTGTCACTCTGAAAGCTGGAATCAGTGAATCCTTTCACTGAAAGCTCATCCACCCCACCATAGACCAGAAACGCATCCTTAGTTCTTCTCAAGTACTTAAGGATGGTTTTGACTGCTGTCCAGTGACCTTCTCTAGGGTCTGACTGGTATCTGCTCGAAATGCTCAAAGCATATGAGACATCTGGTCTCGTACATATCATGGCATACATGATGGATCCAATAGCCGAAGCGTATGGAATTCCACTCATGCGATCATTCTCAGGCTGTGACTTAGGACACATAGCCTTGGAAAGATGTACCCCATGACTGACGGGAAGAAAACCCCTTTTCGACCCTTCCATGCCAAACCTCTTTAGCATCTTGTCAACATACGTGGATTGAGATAAATCCAGCAGCCTTTTGGATCTATCTCTATAGATCTTTATACCAAGTTTAAAGGCCGCTTCTCTCAAATCCTTCATGGAGAAGCTTTTTGAAAGCCAGTCTTCGTTGTTTGTAATGTGCGGATGTCATTTCCTATAAGTAATATGTCATTTACATAAAGTACCAAGAAAACGACATTACTCCCACTAACCTTCTTGTAAACATAAGGTTCATCCTCGTTCTTGATGAAATCGTTACTCCTAACGACTTCATCAAAATGAATATTCCAACTCCTTGATGCTTGTTTTAGCGCATATATTGACCTTTGAAGTTTGCATACCATATGTTGTTGGCCTTTGGCTTCAAAACCTTCAGGTTGTGTCATGTACACTTCCTCCTTCAAGAATCCATTCAGGAAGGCGGT